TTGCAACAAATTTTTTTCTTTTTTTTCACTTGCTATGAAGTTTTTATGATACAATGTTCTTTTTTTAACACTTATTATTAAATGTTTTATGATTTTTTATTTACAAACTGCTCTAATTTTATAAATAAAATAACAAAATCTTCTTTGTTTACTTTTTATATAGCGGCGCGCAGTTAAGAAAAGATAAACAAAATCATTTGGCATTTAGTGTTAATTTCAGTTTGACAATGCTCGGAGCAACAAAAGAGCCTTGAAGTTTTTGGCTTTACTATGTTTTTTTTCAAGATATGATTTTTTAGAGAGTGTAAGCGAGATAGTGATGCTGTAATATACAAAAACTCTCATAACCAAAAAGTTTATTTCTTTGATTATTGTTCAAAATTTCCAGAATTTCCTTCAAAGAAGTTTTACATTTTAAATTTTCCTTTTAAAATTTAAGAAAGTCTCTAAGCCTTAAGTTTAATTTTTGTGACAATTGAAACTTCCTTTTACAATATTTACCAACGGCGTCTGAAAACAACAATTTTTTTCTTTAAGTATCTTTAATAAGAAAAATGTTATGTTCAATATTAAGAAGAATATGGTCTGTAAACAATATTTTTTTTTGTTTTAAAAATATAACAATAATTTAAGAATGTCAGTATCGAGAATTTGAGAGTTTACGGAAAAGCTATCAAATTAAAGTTAAATAGAATTCTACCAGAATGTCAACCCAACTGATTAGGGAAAAAAAATTTGTATATTACTTCATCTTCGCAATCATATTGCAATTTCTTTTTTGTATATTGATTTTTTTTTTGTTTTTTAGCACTTTTCCAAAAAAATTTTGAAAGAAAGTGCTTATTAGTCTCACTCTGTCCATCCGCCCGTCCGTCCGTCCGTCCGTCCGCCCGTCCGTCCGTTCGTCTGTCCGTGTGTCTGTTTACAAAACTTCTACTCGCTTGAAGATAGAAACCTGAAATTTTGTATGTACATAGATCACTACTAGAAACTTATTTCCGTAAAACAAAATTTTTATCTCCCCCCCTCTAGAAGTTATAGCCCCCCAAAACCCTAAAAATGGCTTTTTTTAACTATTTGTTGCAATGAAACCATAAGCATTTTTCAAATTTTGCAAACGCAATAAGGCAGCGGCTTGCTTTAACCGTTACATAAAATCCGTTTTTTTCAAATTTTTAATGCTGTTTTTCTTCTAGACCCCTGGTTCTAGGAGCCTGAAATTTTAGAGGCTTTTAGACATTTACAAATAGTTCATTTCGTTAGAAGAAATTTTTTTCCATCTCCACCCCCTCTCAAGTTATCGCCTCTTGAAAGTTGTAAAATTTGAATTTTTGACACCTTATGTTTCCGAAACCACAAGCTTTTTCAAATTTCTGTAAACGTAAAAAGCTAACGGTAAGTTCCATTACATTAAAAAATATAATTATTTTTCTTAACTCACTTGTATTTAAAAACAGAATTTTCACTTGTTGAAGGGAAAAGTGCTACAATACAAACCATTGGCTTGACCCAACTTTATTGCTTTATATATTGGTGTATAATAGAAATTAAAATCTGGTGTAGATGTCAACAAAGCTCAATAGATGGGTCTGGCAAAAATGGGCAAACTGTGAAATTTTTCATAATTAAAAATGTTACACTAGATTGATTGCATTTTAAATATATAGTCTTTGTTTTAACGTAAGAAAATATTTTTAGAATATGAAAAGTATGCAGTACAATATAAAAAAAATTTTTATTTATTATTATAGAAGCGATTATTATTTTTTTTTATTTAATAGAAACGCATTATTAGTAACATTAGTACTATTTGGTTATCATGGATAACAATCAAATATTTTTTTTCGAACATAGAATGTGTTGTTAAAGTTTTTTTATTTAAAACTCTTTATACCCGTACGAACGGTAAGAAATAACAGTCTTAGACTCAAGTGTATGTTTTTGATCAGTTTCGAATCCTGAGTCGATTTAATCGGGGACTTTAAACGAACCGAAAATGAACTTACTCAGGCTAATCATTAGTTTCGTTGTATGTTATTTTTGTGTCGACATTCCGTAGAGAAAGGTAAATGAGAGGTCTTTTCCGTTTCAAACTTTTTTCCCGTATCTTATCCTCTATAAATCGAAATGTCCATATATTTCCCTGCTGCTCCAGAAGCGCCATATTTTTCATCCAGAGTTCCTTACTTTATCACTTAATTTGGAAATACTTTTTGGTAATATTCGTCACTATTACGTATATATCATATACCTATGTGTGTGAGTGTAGATAATATATGAAACTTTAATACCTTTCTCGGCAATTCATTTTTTATCTCAGATGTAATGAGATCGAAACCTAAGGCTTTACGTGATTTAAGCGACTTTATTTCTTGATAAACTTAATAAAGTACACGGGGAGATGCACTTTATTAAGTTCTTAGTACGATTCGTTGCTTTCCACAACGAATAATTTATTTCTTTAATTGCCAATAAGCCTTTTGCCAATATAACTTTCGTATGATATTGTGAAAATCTGTTCAAAATCGTTTTATCATCTAAGTGACATGACTTTTATTATTTGCTGTTTCATCAATTATAGCTTTGCGATAATTATCTGATACCTGATTGTGTTCAGAGAATTTAATGTCCTTCCCGGCGACATCTTTTTTCAATTTGATAGCAAATTGAAAGCTTTCATCTTCGGAATTTAACTGATTATTAATTTGAAATTTAGCTTTCAGATCTACAAGTCCAATAATGTCACGTTTGAAGCTCACCGAATCTGTTAATCAATCATCTCGGTGATAATTGTCTATTGATAATATAATATAATAATGGATCTATTATCTAAAATCTATTGAATCACTATTGAAGTTCTGTTTAGTAGACGTAATTTTATTTATGGCAAGTTTAACTTCCTATTACTTACGGGAACTTATATTTTTTGATATAATCAACGTTTGGTTTTGGTAAAGATCTCTTTGCTTTTGTGCTATTCAATTCCGACGATAACTCCGTTTCTGAGGTTTCTTTTGATTAAAAAAAACAATCACATTCTCCCACAAAATTCCATCTGTGTCCTCTGCAGCCTTTTTGGTAGATATCCCTCCCGCTATCCTAATTATATCATCTTATTATTGTCAATTTAATACTATATGCCTTTTATCCAAGGCAGCATTTGCTACTGATTTTACGCACCTTTATTTGCTTCTGATTCTAGTAATTCTACTACCTAACCAATTGAAGAAAAAAAATGAAGATCCAAAAGAAATATGAAAAAAATGTAGATTTTGAAAAAAGTGAAGTATTTTTTCAGAATATTTATGTGTACCAGTGTATATAAAATGGCAGTTGGTTTGACGTGAAAAAATTTCTCCTCGAAAACTACGCAACGGTAGTGGTGAGAAAATTTCAACTGATAGAAATGATAATATTACAGTACTTGAAAGAGTTTTCAACAAAATAATATAGAAATGGAATCTAAACTTGTATTTACTCCCCATAAGAGCAGTACTGCTCCTATATAGTATATTATATAATAATAAAAATTGATTTTATTATTTCAAAAAATCAAATTTAAAAACTAAAAAGCATTGCAACAAAATTATAACTAAAAAAAACGTGGAAATATTTCAATGAAAAGGGCTAAATTCATCCTTTGTTGTTTTACCTAAGAAAAATAATGCAAAAAGATGTAAAAAATACAAACTAATTAGTTTAGGGTTTCACGTCTTAAAGAAATTTCTAAGGTTCTTACATAATTGTATATACACAATATGCAAAAAAGCTATAGGTAAAACACAATATGACTTTAAGAAAAGTCTCTATATTTGTTACATAAAAGCTAGTCCAGAATTGCAAAGACATAAGAAAATATTTGTCAATATTCTATTCTGTTATATAGGTAGAAATTGAATAATGCAAACCTTTTTCAATGCGAAGGACTTGAATTCGAGTTAAGAACTGTGAGGCTGACGATTTGCAAATTTATAGGGTCGTCCGGTAGTGCAGTATATTATTTCCCTCGTTGTTCAATTTGAATTCTGAGGGAATATTCTACGAAGCAATGGAACTTCGAAATAAAGTTAACGCAATCTTCGCCTAACACAACGCCAAGACGGCATAACACTTATAACTGGAAATATATATAGATGATCTTCAATACTTATTAAAGAAAGTCAACATACACAGCAAACAATATATAGACTTAGCATAAATGTTTATGAAACTATATTTATGGCTGTTAGTAAAAATAACAGCAACATTAACAATAAATACTCATTTAAAATAAATGACATCACAAGTACATAACAAGTTTCAAATATGTGAGATGTTTACTGGAACACTGGTGGACATTAGATAAATAAATAAAAGGTAAAATAGCTGTTGCTAGATGCGTATTTAACAAATAAAGAAGTATATTACGCAATGGGGAATTAGCCATCAAACTTCGATTGCATTGCTTAAGAAGTTATGTTTGGTCTGTTTTTTGTAACGGTTAGAAGCGGAGATGTTAAAAGTTTTAGCTATGAATAGATTGGAACCACTTAAGATGTGGTGTTATCGAAGAATATAAGAATATCATATATCGATAAGTTCACAAATGCAGTCCATACGAAATTATCGGGTTGGTGAAAACTGAAGTATTAAAATAAGGGAAAAACGTGATTTTTTCTAAAGTACGAATGCTTGGTATTCTGAAGATACATAAAATGTAAAATCAATATAATAATATGTTGCTTTCAAGTCCTTTCAGAAACTTTATCTTTTTCAGAAGGAAACGTATAAGAAAAACAGCTTGTGCAAGTAGAAATTTCGTGAAAATTCATTATTATCCCTGTATCTCGCAAACCATTGAGATTATACAACTAGTTTCTAACAAAAATTTTACCCATTTTTGATGCGCTAAACAATGATATATAATATTTTACTCTTTACTAAACCATCTATATATATATAAATTTGTATACGTACGTTACAATAAATCAAATTAAAATAATTAATTTTTATTATTTCAGATGTTCTGGAAAAAATCATTGCAGCTTTATTTTTAACATCGATCACCCATTTTCAAAAGTGTGGGAAAGTGGAACAGTTCGTGTAAAATACATTTGCATGGATGGTAAATTCTTGTTTCTCGTTTATTTAAGGCTAATTTACTAAATATAACTCATTTATTAACTTTACAATTAATCTTAACTAAAGAATGTTCAGTAAGAAATATTTATTATAATTTCACTGAAAAAGATATGAAATTTAGTGAATAATTTTTTTGACTGAATCAAGTTTTTTTTTATTGAAAAAATGGTTCTTAAAAAAGGAATTGTTACTTTTTAAAAAATCATAAATCGATATTAATTGAAAGTTATAATATTTCAAATTAATAAATAATGAAAAAAACGGATTTTTTAAATGTAAAAATCGAAGAAAAGATTTAACTTTTCTTAAATTTAAGAACATAAAACACAAAAAATAGTAAGATAATTCAAATGAAGTCCTTTGCTAGCGCTTCCCTAAATTTTTTAAAGCTTCGATTTTTCCAATTTCCGTACTATCGTAATCATTGAAATTTGACAGTTTGAAGTCTTAACAAAAATTATAACTATTCTCTACTAATTTTGAACTTCTATTTTTCCCATATGTTGATAAAATTAGATAACTTCGAATGAGACATTTTTGATTCGAATGAAGCCCTTAATGTTCTGTTTGCTGACTTTATGGGTGGAAAATGCCATGATTTTTTTAAGAAGAAATGACAAAATAAGTTCATAGTTATTACAAAACAGGTAAAAATATAATTAAAAAATTAACTAAATATAATAATATATTCATTCGCAATAATTTGAAATTCTTAAAATACATGCAAAAAAGCGGAAAAACTGCAAACACAACCTTTCCCTTCAACATTTTATATGGTACTGAAAGCATTTCATAACTTTTAACTCAAAATATGGGAATCTGTTATAGTAATAGCCCAATGACATTTTTGAATGGATCTTACATGAAAACGGCTTAACGTAGAAAGCTAGGGTCTGGACCTTTAGACACAGCTCTTCGTCGGGGAAGTTTGAATGACTTGTTCGAGTGATTTTTTTGAGTGCATTTTTTAGGGGAATTTTTCAAGAGATTTTTGAGAGACTGTTCAAGTGATTTTTTGACTGAATTTTTTGAGTGATTGTTTTAAATGTTTTTTTTTGAGTGCCTTTTTTGAGGCATTTTCGAAGTGATTTTTTTAGTAACTTTTTGTAGTGTTTGTCTATGTGTTTTTTTTGAGTGATTTTTTTTGACGGAGATTTTTTGGTATTGTTCTCATGGTAAAAAGCTGGGGGTTATTCGTTTTTAGCTGGAGTTTTTTTCAGTGATTTTTTAAGTGATTTTTTAATCCATCAAAAAAAAGAAAGTTAATTTGTAAAAATAGAAAAAAATGTAATAACCAAGTTTCATATTACAACCCAGTACCATATTATTTTTAGCACTTTTCCAAAAAAAATTTGAGAAAAGGTGGTTATTACTTTCGCTCTGCCCCTCCGTCCGTCTGTCCGTGTCCGTCTGTCCGTGTGTCTGTTTACAAAACTTCTACATCCTTGAAGATAGGAAGCTAAAATTTTACATGTAGATAGAACTTTACTTTAAATTTTCACCTACATCTCCCCCTCTAAAAGTTATACCCCGCTAAAACCCTAAAAATGGTATATTTTAACAACTTATTGCAGTGAAACCATAGGCATTTTTCAATTTTTGGTAAAGCAGAAAAATATTAACTGTCTTATCCTATTGCCGCACACCATTTTTAAACTTAAAAAAAACAAAATGGAAGTTAAAATTTACCTTTATCTAAACCCCGTTTTTCTCAAATTTTTGGTACCGTTTTTCTTCTAGATCTCTTGCTCTTAGATATTTATAAATAGTTTTTTTCGTTAGAACAAAATTTTTTCCCATCTCCACCCCCTCTCAAGATATATATCAGCTCTCGAAATTCGTAAAACTTGAATATTTGGCATCCTTTATTTCCGAAACCACAAACTTTTTCAAATTTGTATAAAAGCTGAAAGCTAACAGTAAATTTCATGCCATTAAAAAACATTATTATTTTTCTTATCTCACACAATTAACCCTTAAAATCGAGCATTATGTTAACCATTCTTTAAATTTATTTTTGCTTTATTTCAAAAATATAGTTTTGTATATGAAAGAAAGTAATTTTAATAGTGTGGTAGGTATACATAGAATGTTTTTTAAGCAGTATTTTCACTTGTTGAAGTGTTTTTGAAAAAAGTAATATTAAAAATATATTATTATATATATATAATATAATATATAATATATATAAGTAATACATATTGTTATTATTAATAATTTTTTTATTATAATATCAAAATATATAATCACGCATGCCAATGATTTACCATCTAGATTCTAGAATATACATAAAAAATCTATTTCCAACAAAAAGCTGAAAAAAGTAACTGAAACAATTTCATTTAAAATTCCTTATTTACTCATGATGTTTCCACTCGTCAATAAAAAATTACTCAAAAAAGTTGCTAAAAAAATAAATATTCAAAAATAAATTAAGTACTCAAAAAACCGTTTTTCCGTCCCGACGAGCGGCTGCGTTCAAACAAGTCACCAAAAAAAACCGTAAAATGACAGATACTTATATAAATTTTTTGTCCGTTTCAGTTTAATATTCGATTAGCGATAAATACAACGGCAAAGCTATTTTATAAATAGATTACTCTTGTTTACCTGCTAATAAAATATAAAAGAAGAGCACAAATATTTTTTGCAAGCACTAAATATGACATGTTTGAACTAGTTTTGAAATAATTATGTACAAAAATAATTGTTTGGAAGTAGGTACATACATATTTATTTTTAATAACTTTAAAACTTACGGAAATTATTTGAAACAATTCCATAATTATCTTTTATAAATAACTGAAATGAGATAAGAACTCAAATTGTGGAAAGCTACCACATTATATTACTTTATCACCATTTTTGTTAACCGACACTACTCAACTTATTTTATTGAAAAATACAAAATGTACACTGAAAAAACAACCCATTGTTAAATTGACAAAACTAAATTTGTAAGGCTTTTGTTAAATATTTTTGTCAATAAGACGAAAATTTGTCAATCCAACCTAGATGGCATTATCAATTTGAATAAATATTTATCAAAATGACAAAATTATATTGTTCATCAAAGAACTTAATGTCGTACAAAGCAACTTTGTCTAATTGACAATATAATTTCTTTAAAGTGACAATTTTTTTTTAGTTTCAACAATGTTTTTGTCAATTTAAAAAAAGCTTCAATTTACAAATTTACTGCCCTGTTTTTGTTATTGCGACAAAAAATTTTTGTCAAATTACTAGTATATTTTGGAGCTACATGCTCTTAAAAAATATATTTTGTCCATTTTACAAGATTCTTTGTAAAAATTTTTCAATTTCGACAATTCGCCGTTATTTTCAATGTAATTTTGTTGAGCTGAAAAAAATATTTGTCTCTTTTACAAAAATATAAAAATAAGAAAAAAAAAGCAACACGATATGTTTTGTCTATTCTTCTTTTTTGAATTTGTTAATTTGTTTTAAAACACAAAATAGAAAAAACAAAACCAAACTTGCTTTTTCTATTCTTTTTCTTTTCTAAAACTTTTTGATTTAATATATGTATACATAAGTTCATACATACATAATTTTTGCAATATAAGTTCGTCAAAAATTTATTGGCGTCATCTATAAAAAGTAATTCATGTCGAAGAATTTATTTTTAAAGGGACCGTTATTTTCGATATAATAGGTTTAAACAAGAAAATCATTGTCAATATGGCAAATTGTTTATTATAAAGTCTTGGAAACAAATAAAATCACTTATCGTTTGGTTTTTGTAATAATATTTGAAAAGTAAAGTTTGCAATAATTTAGTATTAATTATAAAAGTGAAATTTAAAGGTGAAAATATTAAAAGTAAAAAAATTATAAAGTTAAGCTATAAAAAATTTAAAAAAATTGTTTATCAATAGCGTTTTGGTATTATTAAATATAATCAGAATCTGAATATTTGGAATTATGAAAAAAAAGTAATAATTTTATTGATAAAAAATGATTTGATTTTGAAAAATAATATCTCAAATAATAAAAATCAAATAACCATATCCGGAAATTCATATATAACTTTGGAAGGAGTACCGTCGTCATCACAAAATATGGAAGTCGAATCAAGTACATTGCCAAAAGAAGATTTTGAAGTCTTAAATCTATTAAAATTGTGAGGTGTAAAAATATTATACTCCAAATAATTAGGTAAAAAGATTTTTGTTTGTTCTAATAATTAAATAATTTTTTTAATTTGTTTTCAGATAAAGGAATTAATTTGGATGTTTTAAAAATAATGTCTTCAACATATACAGAAATTTTTACTCGTGGGTATATAATTATACTGGGGTATATAAATTACGTACACGTGTGGAATTGGAAAATAACTTGCGAAATTGGCAAGAAGAAAACGGGAACGAATTTTTTTTTTAAAATACTTTGTCAAGTAATATTCAACTCTCACAGAAAAAACTATGTGTACAAAAAAAGTAATAGAAGTTGATGTCAAAGAAATATTAGAAAATACAACATATAGGACAATCTCTACTAGATAATTCAAAAAGATGTAAAAATGACTGTGCAATTAGTTGAAGGTATTGCAGACCAAATTGTTAAATTGTTTCCTATGGAACTAAAAGTAAGAAATAGAAAATTTTAATATTGGAAAACTATTGTAATTCATTTAATTCTTTTATGATTCTTCTGTTAGGAAATATATTTCTTACGATGTACAGGAAAAGCTCCTATGGGAAAAATTTATTTCAAATGCTATAATCAGGTTAGCATTAATAAAATATGCCGAATCAACAGCTGAATAAGTATTCCATAAAAGATTCTCAAAATACATTCCTAATAAATGGAGTATCTGAAGAAGAAGTACAATATAAACTTGTAAGTCTGAAGCAAAATCATGAAGCGATCCAGCCAATTATATTAGTTGCTGGTAATATTTTTGACCCTGATGATATTATTGTATATTTTAAGGAAATTAAATTCAAATTCACTAACATT